ACAAAGAGATATAATTATTAATAGGTGAAGTTATGTGGAACGAATAACGTGTATGGTGTGAATTTTCGTTCTCGGACAAATTAGAAATGTACGAAAACAGTTAACTTAAAACAATGCCTAACACAAGATTCTATGGGTGACCAGAGTATAGGCCAACAAGCGTCACCCGCATTTAATTATCCGGTTCATAGTGGTAACCTTATTTAGGTTACCAAGTCGTAAATTCCAGAGAAATGAGTGCATTAAAAACCTATATTACGACTGTGTCCTGTCGCCCATTCTTTTTAACTTCGCCATTGAATGGGTTATAGCGAAGGTCTTACGTGGAGAGTACGGTATAGAGCTTGCATCGGGACGTAGTTTGACCGGTCTCGACTATGCTGATGATACCGCTTTACTAGCTTCAAGCTTTTGTGATCTACAATCTATAGTGTCATGGGTGAACGGGGTCGCTAAATCGGCCAGTTTTAACATAAACGCTAGGAAGACCAACGTGTTTTCATGCCGCATCCCTGACCAGGAGAAGGCACCTCCCTGAAGAAGTGGACAGTTTCAGATACCTCGGAAAGGACAGAGCAAGGACATTATTGTCTTCTGAAGCGACGCAGTTCCTCGAGTTTTCTCCAGCCTTAGAAAGTGCCTATGGACCCGACGCGATATTTTTATAGCCACGAAGGTTCGCGTGTATCTGTTCGGTCTATCCTTCTCTACGGTTGTGGATGCTGGGCTATGCGCGTGGAAGATGAACGGAAACTGGAGGTCTTTGACGATTACTGCTTGAGGACCACACTCTGAATGATTTACGCCGACTTCGTCTCAAGTGCAATAGCCCGCAATCGCTGCGACAACATCGCAAGGACACGTTCTTCGTCGTCAACCTCACGTGTTCAGTGCTACTGCCCTCGACCCAAAATCGTTACCCAATTGGAGACGTCGAAGAGGTCAGCTCAAAACCTGGGTCGTCTCAGTCCGTGAAGACATGCAAGTGTTTCTGAAACCTTCCCTCTCCGGCGGTGGCGAAGAGGCTGGATTGAACTGCCAGGGATCATCACGCTAGATCAGTCATGATTGCAGTCGTAACAGGTACAAGTACAAAGTACCATATTGGGACAACCGGATTGTGTCCAATCACGAACTGGAATATGCGCTCACAGGGTGGGTCTCTGCCAGTCGCATTAAAGTCCAACCTGTGATCACCCTGCCGGTCGTAGAACCCTTTGTGTGCAGTTGCCGAGACAAAAGATAAGGCACAGCCTCACAGCTTCGCCTGTCACGGCCTCACACTAGCGATAGTGTTTAAACTTTTAATTAGTAACCAGTCATGTGCTCAGTGTTGCGACATGGCACGTCAAAGTCGTCTGCCATCTCTGACGATGCATTTGCAAGAACAGCAATGTCTGTTGATGGCCTGAAATGTGTCTTCCAATCAAAAAAGCTGTGACACCAACACGCGCGTTGCGATTCCCCCAAACATGATGATATCCTCATGGCGTCGTAGCTCAAGTGGTAGAGCGTTGGCTGCGTAAGGGCCTTCCCTGCTCTGCAGGTTAGACTCCCGCCGACGCCACGACAATTTTCAAAACTGGGTCAACTAAATATCCTCTTTCATAAAATGAGACTGTAGTTTGTAGTTGCTTTCTGACTCGGAACCGGTTCGTCCTCGCAGCTACCTTCGACCCCGCCGTCCTATCCTCCCTCCTCCAGGCACCAATCCACTCTCCGGACCAGTCATATATTTTATATGTGCGCAAATGACGAGTGCGGTGGGATTCGGCGCCTAGGCGTGCTTCAATGCCCCTTCCCCCTATATGTCACATGTATTATGGGTGCACAGACTGAGTAACGCCTGCTCTGCTCCCTCCCTCCCCCCCAGCCTGTATTTGTCCAGCGCTTTTACCGCGTAGCCCTTTGCAGGCGCGCACGTTCTGTGTCGAATACGCATGTGGCAGATGATAGACAAGGGTTTTGTGTCGCGTCAGCCAACCTTCTGACTTTTACTTCCAATCATCTGAGCTTCTTGAGATTGGAGAAGAACGCCGATCGCTCTTGGTACCAAATAGCGTCCGCCTTTTAGTTATCGTTGCGCCTTGAGAGTGGTTGCGAGCGTTTGCAATTCACTTCTTTTCATATCAGTCGCCACTGTCCCCACGGGAATAATATTCGTCCTCGTCGGTTGTGCTCGGAGGAGCCCGCCTAACCGACTTGCTGCACTATCGATCCGGCCATACGCCGTGTCGTGCTGATATCGTGATTAGTGTTCTGCCCAATCGCTCCAAAGGTCAACCCCTCAAGGACACCATGGGATTGTTCCAATTACAATCTGACCATGAACATATGCGTATGCTCCTCTTTTGGCCTCAAATACATTGTTAGCGGACGGCTTAACGCACTTATACTTCCGCCCTGGTTATTGACTTCTCCTTTTGGGGATTGGATCAAAATGTTGTTCGGCGTCCTTGTGACAATTTCATACTAGATTGCGATTGGCCAGCGATCGTTTGCGTGGGTACGGCGTTCCCGTGTCCATAACGCTTAGCTTGATCGGGATCCAGCCCTTTGGCCTGGTTACATTGATGTTCTGATGGTCAAATCTTCGTCCCGCAAAAACCGTAATTTGCTATAAAAATAAATCATTTAAGGCTCCACTCTGAATTTCTCACGCAATAGGTAATAGCATGATGAGCTTATCTTCCGCAATTAGTCTTCAAGAAGCGTTTGCATAATTACCTGTATTGAAATATCGGCATACAAAGAGATATAATTATTAATAGGTGAAGTTATGTGGAACGAATAACGTGTGTGGTGTGAATTTTCGTTCTCGGACAAATTAGAAATGTACGAAAGCAGTTAACTTAAAACAATGCCTAACGCAAGATTCTATGGGTGACCAGAGTATAGGCCAATAAGCGTCACCTGCATTTAATTATCCGGTTCATTGTGGATGTTTGTGTCTCCATCTGACCTTGGGAAATTTGCACTTGACGTCTAAATTGGTATGCCCGCTAATGTATGCTTCATCTGAGTGCATTGCCTCCAGAAATTCGTGGCACTTCGTGGTTCGACAGGCGCCAATGATTTGGGCTTTTCTCCCATGCAAATTTTTGTCCTATGTGTCCATGGCAGCTTAGGATAGGTGGTCTCGTCCCCTCACCGCTGACTGGTGATCGGGTAGAGGGGTGGGTAGTGATATCCCGGTTTGGCCAAAATAGACTGCATCGCAACTGGTTCATGGTATTTTGTGAAAGATTTCTTTTCTACTGAAATAGCCAACCGTGTCCTTACTGTGTAAAAGTTAGGTGCGCAAAGTAGTTATAAGCTTGTACGCAATTTGTACCTAGTGTTTTCTTAGCTGCCTCTCAATGAACTCAAATATATTATTTACGAATGGGAGTGTTCGCCAGTTCGTTGGTGTTGTTATATGTGTCTCCCGTTCTCCGTGAACAGCCTGACCTCAAACTAGTACCACCCAAACCCACAGGTAGTTTTTGTAAAAAAAACGCTACTCACATTTTGTGAGTAGCTTATTTTAACATCTGTTTGCCCTTTTGTGTGCATGTATATGGTGCGCCGGCATATAATCCGTTTTCTCTGCGCTCTCTAAAGGGTGTTGGTCCAGCTATGAAGGATATCCTCGCCGTTCCTGATCCCTACGTAGAAGAGTGCAATGTGAGCTCCGATCTCTTGCGCCTAGTGCTCACCTTTGATGCCTGCACTGTCGCC